CACACGCACACACACACACACACACACACACACACACACACACACACACACACACACACACACACACACACACACACACACCAGTTGTGCCATGGTCAGGGAGGTGCCTTCAAAATATCTATTAAAAATGACAATCAGAATCAGAATCAGATTTATTGGCCATGTGTGCAACAAACACACAAGTAATTCACTTCCCAGTTACAACCCATTCAGAGGCAGATGGACAAGACTGACAAGGGCAAGACAGAACGAGGAGTCTGGCAGGTAGCCGTTAAGCACCCCAAGATCTTAGATACTGAAGGAGAACAGTCGGGAATGTAAGGGGAAAAAAACTTACAATTGTACTGTAATGATAATAAAAACCATTACCATGCCTTCAATAGACTCCTGTACACCCCAGACCCTTGTGTTTCGGATAATGGATGGATTATTATGCAGTCCATTAATGGATTTCTACAATGATGCAGAGGGTTCGATGCATGCTTATGTTATATTTGTGAATGCAATATGATGACATCCAGCACACATCAATAATCTGTATCCTTGCGTCTGGATCAAATCCACCAAAATTACGTGACACCACCTGCACTACAATTAAAAACTGATTTTACCTGGTTTAAAGTCTAGTCTACTTTATGTCACCAAATTGTCAGATCCGATGTTCTGGAAGCATGTAATAGAAAACCACCCTGCCGAATTCCAAAACAAGGTCAACGAGACATGCCCTGGCACTAAAATGAAGATGGGCAAGTGTTTACGGCAGGCACACGTGCATCTGTCTATGAAAATAGGTCCCTCTATGTTAGGGTGGTCCATTTTGGAAAAGTTTGTCGGATTCGTCGGGCCGGGTCGGAAATCTTGTCGATACTATGACACAAGGATGTGTGCAAAATTTTATTCCGATCGGATAATTTTATCCCGTCCCGCAGAGCGACCAAAGTTTCCCCTATGGAAAGAATCTTACGGGGCTGAATAGTAGTACGGTTTCTCCCGTACAGTAAGGATTTTGTTTTGCTCAGTTCGCACTTGCAATAATTCAAAGACGGAAGACAGGAACGCATGTATTGCAAAAAAGGCAACCGTGGTTATCCTTCAACACTGGTGAGATTGTTGGTCCATGTTAACTGGTCCATCTGTCTATCTGTCCATCTGTCTATAATGTCCATCAACACTAGTGACACTGTTAGACCGCAAAAAAAAACGAAATCCGCCGTGCGTGCCATCCCATGCCTACTTCGCGCACGGGTGCAACGCCCGGTGTCGCTCCACGACCTGCAGAAGGTGCTGTCGCTGTTCCTCGTCGCGCGTGATGGCGCCGCAGAACGCGCTGATGAGGGCGACGCCCCTCTCCGCAAAGTCGTTC